GGCACCGGGTCATCGATCTAACGGATGAACTGAAGACCGGGTCCCCGCACAATGGTAAGAAGGTTTCCGCTGCTGACGGTACTCCTGCAATGACTGCACTCTTTCGTTGAACAGAGTGCCTGGCCAACTTTCTGGTGGGAGAAGCCCGTCTGGAGAGTTACTTGGAGGAAAACGCACTCGCGTCAGACTCCAACTTTGGGCGTGCCAAGTCTGGATTGACCGAGGCCCGGCGCTTCCTTCACTTGGCTTTAGGCGAGAGTGGCCAGAAGGCGGGCATCGCCCTGGACGCCTATCTGCTGCTGGCCAAGCTGTGCTTCGCCTGCGGCGAGTATGAACAGAGCCTGGACAATTTTGTCAAGGCGGAACTCAACACGCTTGCCGAGAAGGAGCTGACTCTGTAAGTTGCGACAAGGTTTAGTAACCAAATTATTCTCTTCTATTGCATGGGGAACTTGCAATGAAGTTGAATATACAGATCAATCCGGGTGTTTCAATATAAATCGCATGTCTTCTGAAATAGTATTGTAGCTCTCCAGGACACAGCCAATTAAACTACATCGTTTTGATGTCGATCAAAATCCTAATACTTCATTGCTCTTATGCATACATATGTATCTATTTAATAGTCGCAGCCTAAAGATCCTTGCGGAGTCGTATGCCATCAAGGGACTGTGCCTGGAGCAGCAGACTACGAAGCCGTCATCTAAGTTTAAGAAGGCCGAAAAGGACACGGAAATGGTAAGATCCTCGATTGCACTTTTAGAATGTAACTTATTGTTTAATTTCTAATTCCAGATTAGCTGCTTTGAGCGCGCATCTGATCTGGGCCTGCTCTATCTGCAGGAATACGATGTCGTCAGTGGGACCAGTGGCTCATCCAACAACTCGACTGCTGGTTCTACGTTGAATGTAAACGCGTCTACTGTGCAGCCGTCGAGCAGCAGTTTTGCCATCAGCAGTACTATACCGGCGAGTGGGCCAAGCGGACTGGAAATGAACCGCAGGATGGGCGCCATCCTAGAGACTGCCCTACAGCGGGCACCTATAGTGCTGATTAAGACGGAAAAGCTTCAAGAGGCCGTTGAACGCTATAGAATCATGTTGAACGCCATCGAAACGCGGGCTACTCAATCGTTGCGCCTTACGCTGGCCCGCCAGCTAGCTGAGGTGCTTCTAAGAGGGATCTCAGGCACGATTTACTCGCCTCCCTTTACCGGAAAATCTGGAGGTGGGACGCTGCGAGGAGGGTCCTCCAAAAAACTTTGGAAGCCGCGAAAATACGCAGCCCGACAGCAGTTCAACCCTCGGAACCAGCAGGAAGAGGTGATCCTGTTGCTCCTTATAGCCGAGGCACTGGCTGTGAGGGATACAGTTTTGTCGCAGAGTCCTGAGTTCAGACAGGCCCGTCAGCATGCTATGGGCAACGTTACGGCCGTCTATGACCTCCTGACCTTGGCTACTGTGCGCTGGGGGCTCGTGCAGCTATTAAATGAGTCCTTTGAGAAGGCGCTAAAGTTCAGCTTCGGTGAACAGCATGTGTGGCGGCAGTACGGATTAAGTTTGATGGCAGCCGAAAAACACTCGCACGCTCTAAGGGTCTTGCAAGAATCAATGAAGTTGACTCCTTCTGATCCCTTGCCTTGTCTGTTGGCTTCTCGCCTTTGCTACGAGAGTCTGGAGACGGTAAAGCAAGGTCTCGACTATGCTCAGCAAGCGCTCAAGCGCGAAGTAAAGGGTAAGATGACATTTAATATATGTATGTATTGAATCATTTCATTACGCTAATCCAAACTCCACTTGCTCCATGTACAGGCCTGCGACCATCACGAAGCCAACTCTTTGTGGGCATCGGTCACCAACAGCTAGCCATCCAGTCAAATCTAAAAAGCGAGCGAGATGCGTGTCACAAGCTGGCTTTGGATGCCTTGGAGCGCGCTGTGCAGTTGGATGGGAACGACCACCTGGCGGAATACTACTTGTCGTTGCAATACGCGCTTTTGGGACAGCTGGCGGAGGCGTTGGTTCATATTCGTTTCGCCCTGGCGTTGCGTATGGAACATGCGCCATGTCTACACCTATTCGCACTGTTGCTGACAGCGTCGCGCCGTCCTCGTGAAGCTTTGGGGGTTGTGGAGGATGCTTTACACGAGTTCCCCGATAACCTGGAGCTACTGCACGTTAAGGCACACCTGCAGCTGCATCTAGAGGACCCGGAGACTGCGCTGGGCACTGTGCAGCATATGTTGGCCGTTTGGCGGGACGTTTACGAAGCCCAGCTAGCGGGAGAGGAGGAGAAACACTCGGATACCAAGAGTGGTGTTCACTTGGCACATTCTTCACAGATGTCCGACAAGGATTCAAGTAAGAGCTCGATAGCTGCCGTTTGCATCTGACTTATTCATATCTCTCTATCTAATAATGTGAATGTTCTGTGTATATACACTCGTATATATATCTGTATCCCAAACTCTGCGGAATCTATGTATTATACATAACAAACAAATCAAACTCGCATAAATAATTGTAAGTTTGCTAAGAAAATTCCGGTTTAATCCAGCTTCGATTTCGCCTATAGATCGAAATTGGTCAACACCGGGTGTCACATTCATTCAAATTTTTCTGGTTCAGTAGTTATCTAGATTTAATTATCTGATCTTTGATTTCCCCCCATGCATTACTTCTTTTAACACATACCTACTAACACTTACATTTTGTAAATAACTTTAAAGACTTCTTTTAGTGCACCAACATTTGTACGTTCTTCTACTTAAAGATCTTCTACTTAGATTTATGTCTTCGAAGATCTCAAAAATACCATTAAACGGTATTTGGGACACTCGAAATGCTAATGCTAAACGTATTATTAATTAACTACTAAAGTATATTTTTTGGAAAATGTGCTCTTGGCTCGTTATCTGTTAGGCGATATTATTACCTTTCTGCCCTCTTCTGAACCATATTTGCATGATCTCAAAATGTTTTCTATACTTGTCTTTGTTTCCGTTTCAACCTTTTGTCTTTTCGTTATGTATAGGTTTTTCTCGAAAAAACTAATATGAATTTCGCTCTTTAAAGATTCTGTGTACGCGGCTTCATTGGCTGCAGTCTCGCGCGTTGAACAGGCTCTGAGTGAAGCAGCAAGTTCACTTAGCTCATTTACGCAACGTCCTGGACCTCGACGCCCATGGATGCTACAGATTGAAGTGCGTCTTTAATTTCGTTTAGTATATAAGTTTATGTATTTACTGTGGCTAAATGGATTCATTTAAGATATGGCTTCTGCTGGCTGATGTCTATCTCCGCATCGATCAGCCCAACGAGGCACTCAACTGCATACACGAGGCTTCACAGATTTATCCGCTTTCGCATCAGATTATGTTTATGGTACGTAGAACAATTATTGAAGTGTCATCATCCCATTGCTTATTTCCATACCCGTAACTCGTAGAGTAAAAGGATATTCTAGATTCGTTGAAAAGTATTAGCTGACGTATGAACGTCGCGATCTCATAAACTATTCCATATTCCATATTTTTTCCCAATTTCTATCGATGTCAGGAAAATGTTGAAATTTCTCGTTCGCAGTTCCACCAGCTGAGTAACGGGTATCTGATAGCCGGGGAACTCGACTACAGCGTTCTCTCTTGCTTTAAAGGATTTTTATTTGTTTGCCTGTCTTATACCAATCTTTAAACATATGCGCACAGATCAAACTTAAAGCCGAACAGGCAGAAATACTATATGATATAGCTTATATTGGAACGATAGGTTAGAATTGCAAACATGCATTTTTTTTGAAATTTGATCAGTGACAATCCGTCTACATTATCTATGTAGGCTTGATAAATAGATTTGTATTTGGCGAGACCTGCAAGGATATTAAAACTGCGTATATTCAAATCCTCCACTATTGATTTATTTCATTCCAATTCTCACTAACTTCAGTACTATTCTTTTTTTTTAGCGTGGTCAGGTGCATGTCTATTTGGAGCAGTGGTTTGACGCCAAGCAATGTTTCCTGAACGCCGTGGCCGCCAACCCAAATCATACAGAAGCTCTGCGTGCATTAGGAGAAGCGCATTTAATACTGGGCGAGCCCAGATTGGCTGAAAAAATGCTTAAAGATGCGGCTAAACTGGATCCGAGCTGCCCAAAAATTTGGTAAGCTTGAAGACATATACTCAACACTCGAAACAAAATTCAAATTGACGAATTTACCAGGTTCGCACTGGGAAAGGTGATGGAGATCCTGGGCGATTTCCATGCCTCAGCCGATTGCTTCGCCACGTCGCTGCAGTTGGAGCCATCATGTCCGGTGCTACCTTTTACTTCTATACCTTTGGTGTTTGAATAGGAACACTGTCGTGTCTTGTTTTGTTTGTTTGTAGCAGATTTAACCCTAAACCTAAAAGTGAACAGCAATACTATTACTAAACTTACTGTACTTCCTAATTCCCTCGTGTGAAAATTGTTATATTGCAGTATTGAAGCAACAAATGTTTAAATATTGTGCTTGTAAATTACGAACAAGACTTGTCCAAGCTAATCGGTATTCAGTGAACAATTCTTCTATCTTCCTTAATCATCAACTTTTTAAGGAGATGGTTTGGTTAAATTGATTACTCCAATAGGTGTTGTTAATTGCATACAATATTGGTTATTATATAAATATATAGTACTTCGTGAAGTTATTTTTTCTTATTTTGAACCGGTGGATGCAACTCTTAGTTATTTTTGAGGTCCATTTTCTGCAGTGGGAAAATCATGCTGATAAGTTTTAGTGCTTGTTTTATTTTTAGTAAAACGCATATTACTCTGTCGCGACCTTTCACTTTCCGCATTAGCTAATTGACGCCGATAACTTCCGCATTATGCGCTAAAGGCCAAATTTAGACCTTATAACTACCAAGGAGTTTACTTGCAGCTATGTCCCATTTCCTTTATATTCGGTGCGCTTGTGTCGTTGCCCTGGGCAACTAGCGTAACGTACGTCCAATCAATAAAAAATAAACAAGGCAGTCGAATGTGTCGCTGCAGAGCAAGCATAGGAATTTGGGTTTATTACGCCACTCTTAAAAAATCCCGGGTCATTCATTTCGTGTTCCAGTTTAAACTTTGGCCCCGTTAGATCAGCTACTTGAATCTTGATGGGCGATTAGTTCCACAAGCATAATGACGCCCAAACGAAAGCGTCGCGGACGCAGCGAGTCGCGGGCCAAAAGCAAAGGCAAGGACCAGTCCAAGGCAGAGCACTTGGACCTGCTGGAGCAACTGGAGTTAACCGACAGCTGCTGCGACATATGCCACTGCGACTGCTATAGCTCCCACAGCGGCGGTTCCGTGAGTGGGCACGGAATTCAGCGGCAGGAGAGCGTCAAGGAGTTGCTGCAACTGGAAAACGACATTAAGACTCTAGAGCAATTGCAGCGACGGGAAAGTCTGAGCTGCAAAATTAGTTCTAGCAGCCAGGGCCACCGAAGTGCTTCCAGAACGTCAACCGAGCGAAAGGTTCCCCACAGCAGGCGGGGATCCTTCGACTGCCAGAAAACAATTACAAGCTCAGGCAGGAGTCGGCGGTCAAAAAGCGCAGGAAGTCGCAGTTGCGAGTCCCGAGGGAAGCAGCCTACACAGAAAGTACAACGAATACCTCAGGATCGTCGAAGGCGCCGTGCTCAAAAGGATTGCAAAATGCTTCAAGTAAGCTTAGATGACATGGAAGAGGTTATCAGATTGGACACAAAGCGAATGGAGTCGATCTCCCCATATCCGTCCGTCGGTCCGTCTGTCTGAATGAAGAGCTATAAAGGCAGGAAAATGTTTATATTTTTTCCATTTTATTATTTATGTTGCCAATTAACTCTTAACAAGTTAAGACTTTAAAATTAGACGTCAGTAAGCAACAAATGTAATCGCCGCTACGTGGTGCTCGTGACCAATCTGGGAACAATCGCATCCCTACCTTCCTACATCTTAAAAAATTAAATATTCGTGAAATACATACGTGTTTGCTGTTGTTCAACCCTTTACTACCTCAACAGAAATTTTTGGCCCCCCTCAACGACGCACCCAACCTCTCTATCATCGGACGAGCCAAATCCAAATCGCAAGAAAATTTGGCTGTGGTGTCATGCCAAGCGCAGGTCAAGAAGAGCTCGTTAAGCAGCTCGATGGCCAACTTGTGCCTTGCGCCAATGGTGCGAGCCGCATATCAGCAGGTGCCCAGTCACGACCAGAAGATCCTCAACTGCATGGCGGAAAAACGGAGGCAACAGGCCGCCGACAAGGAGACGGCCTGGTTGGCGCGGAAGTTCTGGGAGAACGAGCGGCTTGAGCGGCAGCTTCTTCAGGTGGAGCAGCTGGAAGCTTACAAGCATGCGGTGCACGACAAACAATTCCAGGACTACCTTGTGACCAAGGCGCGACTGCAGACCTTGGCTGAGCGCGATCTGGCAGAGCTCAAACGATTGCGAGGAGCCCTTAACGCCAAGGACGCTGCGGTCAAGAAGCGGCTGGAGGCCAGACGGCTGGAGCGAGACCTTAACATTTCGCAGAGACGGTGCGAGGAGTTGCGTCGCAGCGAGGCTGTCACCGTGCATCAGGAGGAGCAACACCTGGACGACACGCTGCGTAAGCGCGACATCTGCATGCGGCTAACGCAACGCCTGCGGCGGGCGGACGAGTTGCGTGGCCAGCTGTTGGAATCGTACCTCAAGCGTATGCAGCTCGACAACTACATGGAGCAGCTACATCACGAGGAGCACTGGCGGGAGCGACAGCAGGAAGAGCGCTTGCGCAGGGATCAGCTCCGCGAGGATATCGAACGCAAGCGCCATCAGTCCCAGCGCTTTGTTGAGTGTCGCCAACGGCGCCAAAATGATCGCTTCCGTACCGCCAAGATCTCTGCCAGCCTGCGGGAACTGGTGCGCCAGTCCGTCACACCCGAGGGCGCTGTTAGTGGTTCGTTGGGCCAGGATAACCCAGCGCTCAACTCTTATGTCCAGCAGCAGATAAAGCTGGGTCGCCTGCTCTTTGAGCAATCTGGCAGGGAATAGCTTGTTCGGAAGATACATTTTTGATGGTTATGTACATATATACAAATTGTTGCTGGTTGTACGTTAATAAAGTCATTTAATACTAAGTCAAGTCATGTACTTCCCAGTGCATAAGTCATCCATAAGCCCCAGCGCATGGTTTAAATCCGATCTATAGATTTGTATCTTCTCAGCCAACTGAACAGTGATAACAAAGCCGTATAATCAATAAGCACGGGTTCGTGGAGACAAAAGTGTACCCCACCCTGGTCCAGGAACTGCAGAGCACGTAGGCAGTGGGAGACTCAGTCAGAGGCCTTGAATTGGGACAGTGTCCCAAGAGGAAAGACTCCCCTTAGTTTCCTCTTATTTCGAATCGATCACGTTTCGGAAGTGCAAATACTCACAGTGAGTAAGAGCTCCGCGAATTAAAGGCAAGATGCACATGCATCCCAAACTGAGACAAGGTTATCAGACCCCATTGAGTCTGATTCATCGTCGACCCAGGGCAGCGGTCGTTTCCTGAGTTCAAGCTCTTAGTCTCTATCAAAGTTAATTAGATTAACACTTTAACTGCTATCTCGGTTTTAGAGCTCAAGTGCATAATTGTCGTGGTGGTTTTGAAATTGAAACAAATGCCGTGCTCATGCACAGTGGCATATTTATTTTATAGTTAGTGAGGCTTGATTTTCACTAAACGGACGATGCGGACTGTAACGTGAAATTAGTTCTAGAAACTCGTCTTGTCTACGCTTTGAGTAGCCTCCCCCAGGATTTTGGAGCGTGTATGATTCTCTACCACGTCATTGGATATACTATGCATCTCAAACCGATCATAGTTAATATTTCTATTATTTTATATTAAATATTTCATAGCAACTGTTTTGATCAAACATTAAATTAAAATTATTAATTTTTAATTATTATTATTTTAATTATTAATTAAAAATTATCAAATTAAAATTACATGTCACAAATTTTTCAATTTAACAAATTGAATGCCACATGTAACCAACTGCTCCTGTGGCAGTCCGTCCCGTTCCGACTCATATATTACCTGTAATTGAGGGAACACATGTAGCAAAGCTTAATGCAGACAGCTTTAAAACTTAGAGACTGATTAAGGATACTGATTAAGATGAAACCTTCTTCATAAGAACGTAGTGGTTCCTTCGTTGCATTGTCAACTTCTGAGCAAGAGTATTAAGAGAACGCTTTGATCGATTTCCACGATTAGAGAAATTCCAAAATATTTATATTTATATTTACAATATTTTAGTAATATCCAGAAGAAGCCTAAGTATATGTTTTAAGTGTGGACGTGTGGCGTTAGAGTGCCTAAATATTTTTGTCATATCGATAAAAATGACACCACAAATGAACATTGTTGAAAGTGTGTGCGGTAAGTGGGTGTGGTTATCTTCTGAATAAAATTCCCGCTGCGTCTACGTCTCTAGAATTTGCATGCTTAATCCAGCTTTAATTGTCCCAGAGATCTCGACGTTTAGACGGAGACAGACATCTGTAGCCAGATCGACTCTCTGATCTAGAATATATATACCTATAGGGTATTCTACCTGATACATAATCATCAGCGAGTCTGCATAGCATGACCTACGTTACACTACGAGGAACCGGATTAAAAATTTGTTTCGTCTTGTAGACGCGGTCGTACGATACGCAGTCGTTATAAGAATTTATAACAAACTTTTACGAGTACAATGTCCCAAATTAAAACTGACGTCATGTAATTATAAATGGCATACATGTAAAATATATAGTTTCCAAAAAATGTTATAATTTTATATAAATTTATTTTAAATGCTTTTCTATGAAAAATTTTTTCAGAAAAAAATTTTTTGATTCTTTATTTTAAGCTTATTTTAAATTCAAACTTTAATATACTAAAATACTTAAATATACAAAAAGTCTTTTAAAAAATTTTAAATTTAAAAAAATTTTAAATGCCGAGATTAGACGATATATATTAAGCACTACAGTTTACGTGCTAAGAATTTATTACTCTGGGCGGCACCAGGAGTGTCTGCGAACACATAATAGTCGTGTTTCTAATCACTTTCTAATGCAAATATATTATACTGTAGTTGTCCGAGCATAACAAGTGATACGCCAATCAAAAACTAAACTAAAGGGATTACCAAGACTTTGAAAAAATGACTTCTGGAGAAAAAGTGGTGAAAGTGTAAAAGAGAACATTTAAAAAATTGGGCAATAAAATATATTAATAAAGTGCGCGGAATAAATAAAAATCTTTTATAAGTAGATTAAAAGTAGAGTAAAAGCTTATACTAGATTCGAAGAAAAGTATGTAACAGGTAAAAGAAAGCGTTTTCGACCCTACAACTTTATATATATATTCTTGATGAGGATCACTGGACGAGTCATGCTGGCCATGTTCGTCCGCATTAGAGTCGAGATCTCAGGAACTAAAAGAGATAGAATATTAAGCATGCAGATTCTAGAGACATAGACTCAGCGCAAGTGGTTACGCCCACTCTTATGCCTACAAGCCGCCCAAAACTGTCACGCCCACACCTCTAAGAATTGTTATACATTTTTCATTATATTTTTTTCGCCCATTATTTATACTTCGTTAAGAACTTTTTTGACATGGGTTACATATATTTTATAGTTGATTTAAACAATTTTAGGCTGTGATTTGAGAGACAAACATTTGTAGAAACTCCACTACTACTTTGTAGAAAGCGCATAGCCTTGCCGGCCAAAGATACATTTTACTTCGGGTTGGAAGATGTATCTATGCTGTAGAAATGAATGTTTCGTCACTACGCCGACGAGAGTCCCCACTGATAATAACTGGAAAATTTTACTTGCGCTTTTTCTTACAATCTTGCTGTGGATCGACCCTTTCTTGGCCCCTCTGTCAATCGCTTCTTCTTGAAATACGATCTGTGTTCACATTTTATTTTTGTGCTAAATAGGTGGTAGACACACATATTATAGCACGCGTGCAAATAAACCGAGGCTTGGGCGATAAGCCCTGTATTGGGTTTTATAAGAACCTGAAATAAATATAGGGCAGAGTCCTTAGTACGTGCTATCATCGCTGTAGAGGTGAACAAATTGTGGATATTTTTATGAGCATTCTTTGTAAATTGATTTTAAGCCATAAATTCAATTGCGATTTATTGTTTTTTGGGGTTTTGTTATTTTAGCTGTTGTACGTTTTGTCGCCGCATCTTATGAGCTTTAATCTTATTTCGATTCCACATTTTTTCACGATTTCTATTTCAAATGTTTTGTGTTTTTACCTTCGGTTTTCAGTTTTTTTTTGTGTATGTTGGGTGTTTTGCTACTTTCTCCTCGCAGCTGCGTTTGGCAATCAACCGTTTGCTTTGCGTTATTGCGACGAACAAGATAAGATAGGAAATGCTTGCCAAATCCATTGTTGGGCAATAATAATGCAATGCCTAAAAAACAAATCCACGAAGGAAGGTATACTTCATATACTTCTGGGCAGATCAACTAACTTAGTAGTCAAGACTAAGAATATCATATGCATTAGAGATTCCCAATCGCTTTTATCTACAGGTTGCGTTCGTTTTAATTAACGATCAACGACCTAAAAACTCAGAACAAACTGTTTCTTTCGTGAAGCTTTTCAAAACGATGCTTAAATGTGCATTTTCAATCAAAAAGTATTCTTATTCAATGTTATAGAAAAAAGGAACATTTTTTTTATAATAGTACAAATATTTTATTTATGTGGCTGCCGAACACATATGCACATATTTCCAATATGGGTTGGTTTAAGAACTACCACTGAAAGTGGATGTAAATTTGTATATGCAATTAGTGGCAACTACCACAGTAATGAGTAGATTATCTCATCCAGGCTTAGGTTTATACATATATTAACTTGGAATTAATTTGAATGAATGGTTCAATAAGAAAACAGAATGAATGTTTGGACAACTTGAAATAATTAACTCTAAAGTTACTGTGTAGTTAGGAGCTAATTCATATTTCGCCAAGAAATGATATTATATAAATACATTGACTGTAATGTAAAAGCTATAGGTGGTGGACTCGGTGTAATTGCCCCTCCAGCGCCCCTAATACTTGGTGCAGCCTCTTCCTAGGATGCGGGTGTGGGCCTCAACTCTCGATACCCTCGCTCTCCAACTGGGCCTCGATGATCTCTGCGTGCAGGCGCACCATGTGATTGTTCAGGTTGCCAACGCTCTGGTAGCACTTGTCACAGTACTCGCAGGCGAATGGCTTCTCGCCGGTGTGCACCAGCAGGTGGGAGTTGAGGTGGCCACGAGTGAAGAAGGCCTTCGCGCAGCGATCGCACTTGAAGGGCCGCTCCATGTTGGGGTTGTGGGAGCGCATGTGGGTGCGGAGGTCGGACTTGGTGGGCCAGCTCTTTGAGCAGCGTTGGCACTCGAATATGCGCGGCTTGGCCTCGCCCGTGTGGGTCCGCAGGTGGGACAGCAGCTGCGTGCGCAAGATGAAGCGTCGCTCGCAGTGCTGGCAGCCGAAGGGACGCTCCGTGGAGTGCACCGACTTGACATGGTACCGAAGACTGTGCCGCGAGGCAAAGTTCTTGCCGCACTCCTCGCACTGGTACCTCATCTCGCCCATCCCGTGCACGGCTGACATGTGCAGCTTGAGCTGAAAGTTGCGAGTGAACTTTTTCTCGCACTCGGCGCACGGGTGCAAGGATCGCGGGTGCAAGGCGCCTGCGGCCTTCTTCTCCTTGGGCTTGAGGTTTTCCTGGCGCGGCCTGGTCCTCCGCATCTTGGGCTTTTCTGCGGCTTCCTGAGCCGGTTCTTCGGATGATTCCGGAAGCGTGGCAGGCTCGACTGCAAAGAGCTCGGCAGTCTCCGGCTGGTGAAGCGGAGTGTTTAGGCTGCCTGAATCCAGCGACGATTCCCAGAATGAGGGAGTCTCTTGTTCACTGGGCGAGCTGTCTTGGAAGTCCAGGCTTTCTGTGGTCATGAAAGGGTAAGGGTTAAAATATGGAATTTAAAGGATAATACAAGAGAGAACGCTATAGTCGCCAGCATATCAATGGAATCTTGCAATTGAAACAGGAATGGAAGTTAGCATCGGCAAGCTGTATTTATACCCTTGGAGTAATTTGCAATCAAAAACAAACTTAACATAATTATGCCCGTTACTGGTAGAGTAAAAGGGTATACTAGATTCGTTGAAAAAGGTGTAACAGGCAGAAGGAAGTGTTGCCAACCATATTCTTCATCAGGATCAATAGCGGAGTCTGTCCGAACTGAACTATAAAAGCTATAAAGTTGAAAGTAAGCATGCAGATTCCAGAGACATAGACGCAGTGCAAGTTTGTTAAGCGATGTTGCCACGCCCACAAACCGCGGAAAACTGCCACGCCCACACTTTTGAAAAATGTTTTGAAATTTTTTCAATTTCTTGTTAGTAAACCGCCCAATACTGCCACGCCAACACTTCTAAGTTTTTTTCATCCTTTTTATCCTTTTTCCCCCAATTTTTACCGATATTCCAGATAATGTTGAAATTGCTAGTTCGCACTTCCACTAGCTGAGTAACGCGTATCTGATAGTCGGCGAACTCGACTATAGTATTCTCTCTTGTTTTCATTTCTTTTTCGATTATGTCTATTGCAGCTATATGATATGGTCCAATGGCTGATAACTGTATAAGGGACGGACGGACTGACATGACTATATCGACTCGGTTGTTGATGCTGATCAATATATATGTATACGTATCCTTTAACTCTATGAGTAGCAGGTATTAGTGTCTCTTTGTTCATGAATGCATAACTTTTGTCTAGCAGATTATTTATTACATTTTATGGCTTGATCCCTATAGAAAAACAACCTTAATTAAATTCGTGTTGGTTATCAGCCTGCTATCAGCATGTGTCAGAAAGACGAAACATTTTATAATAAATTTTCTATTGTGACCTAATCCCTGGTTCTTTGGCCGGCCTTGGCTATGAAACTTATGTGTTCGCCCCGTGCGTGATAACATACCAAAATCAACGGTCTCCATTAAGGGCGTCACATAGGCCACTGGCTTGCTGGTTTGCAGGGGCATGGACACGGGTCCCTCCAAGCTGCCCACTTCTCGCTCCAGGCATTCGAGCACATCGTCCAGGGCCAAGGCGTCTCCCACGGCCACTGTGTGCTTCCAGTGCTCGTGTCGCATGCGGAGCACCTGCTCGGAGTGCTCGCACCGCCGCTGGAAGTCGCGGGCGTCGTGCAGGCGGCGGAGGCAGAGGTCGCAGATCACGTCGGTGAGGTTGTCGCCCGGATCCAGACGCAGGGCGGGAGCCAGGGCCTTCAGCTCCACAGCCAGCTGACTAGAGGCGTCATGGAGACTGTGGTAGAGCGGCGGCTGCTCCAGCAGGCAGCAGCGGCAGACGAGCGGGTGGTGCGGCAGCAGCGAGAGCATAATACTTAGTTGCCAAAATCTGGCGGACGATCGCGGTATACACTATAGGTTCAATCAAGGAATTCCCGACCGACGCGGACGTTTGGCATAGTGGTTTTCCTTGGGTTGTGGTCCAAACTCAGTCTACCTGGGTTTTCATTTTGAAATCGGATCTCATTACGGTTTGACCACAGTCTTAATACTTGGAGCGTCTGCTCGGATCGCCGGTCGCTGGACGTCTGAGGTTGTGGGCCCGCATCCGATCCACTCCTCCGAGCAATGTTGCCAGCGATGTCTATCAGGAAAGGCGACCGGGGCACACCGATAGCCCTTGGCTTCAGCGATAAGTCAGAGGCGGCGGAGGCGTCAGTTCGGCTGGGGGGTGGGGGCGCAGAGAGACAACGGGAGATTCGTCTGAGGAGAGGGGTGTCGTAGGGCTACTATCGACGGTCAACGTCAACGTTTGCTAATTTTCAGTTCGTGCCAGCTAATTGATTGCCCCGGTGGACATCCGCCGACTGTCCCTGAACCGCGATAAGGCGGTATTATCTCGCCATTATTTGGGTGGTCCACATCCCCGGCCACCTTTCCACTCCCATCCTCCGTCGTGCCCTCTGCGTCGAGAGTCGAACAGACCGAAATAGATCTGTACCGGACCTTATCATCGTCCGTAGAGATCATCGATCCGCTGAGGGTTTCCCAGCCGTCGCGCTGTTGTTGTATTTACCGCTAACGTTTTGGGGCCTAAACGGCCAAATGAGTTGGCCAAATGACTCGCTTGCTCTGAAAATGCTCTAGCAAAGGGTCTACGAATGGGAAGCTGCAATAGAATGCCGGTCACGCATTGCCTAAGAGGTTTTTGAACAACCAAACGTAAGCTGTGTAGAACGGGGGAAGCCTTAACGGCACGAGCCCATAATCTCCACTGGATGCGATGATTCTAGATTCCAAAGTTCAAGAGCCGATACCAATATAATAATCTATATACGACTTGTTCCCTTGTTTTAAGTACGTTTGACCTAAAAAGGGACAAATTGTGTACTTTTGCATATTTGTTGAATGCATACTTCTTTTAATTAAAGCACAATTAAGCACAATTTCTTAAGTGAGATGTTGTATATACCAAAAGCCGCATGAAGAAAACGAATAAGTGGAGTTCGGGATTTCCCCGTAATTCCCATTACTGATTTATCAAGTCAGTTTTTCCTCATTGATCACTGATCCTGCATGCAAGACAGTTTCTCACTGATCTCCAGCTGGGTCTTTATCATTGTGGAAAGCGTGATGGCCATGAGCATATCCCGCAAGTTGGTATTGAACATGAGGCGAAATTTGTCCGGGTCCATCACCGGTACAGCGGTGAGAGCGGCATGAAGGGCTCTGCCGACGACGTTGTCCGGTTTTCTCTTCCTGTCCAAGACATCTTTGATGTAGCGCAGCACCAAGTCCAGACGCTGTTGTATGTCCCTAGTGGCATCCACTACCTGCACCAGCTCTGGAATGAAGCGATCCAGTTGCTTGGTTCCCTGTTGCAGCGATTGCTTCTCAATGGAACGCAGAGCCACCAGGTCGGAATTTCCGTTGCTAATCTCCAGTGGAACTAATGAGAACATCAGTCCTTTGGTGCCACCGGGCACTCCGATCTCCACAGCACAGTACAGTCGGGTCGAAAGTCGCTGGCTCTTCAGGGTTGCATCCACTACCAGGTGCAATGGCTGTACTTCGCCGCATTCTCTGGCATAATAGTCGTGGAGCAGGGACGCGGAGCGGGACACAGATTTTCCAGTACAGAACCATCCCAGCACGCGCTCGTTCGGATAGGTCAGCATGTTTAGCTCTAGGATCTCGGAGGCATAAGCGATATCCAGATCAATGCGGTTGATCTCCGGATGCTCCTTGTGCGGCACAGTAAAACAGTTGGTAATCTCAAAGTGGCCCTCCTTGTTGCGACCCAGCAAAGTGCCAATAACCTTTGATTTGTTCATTGGAAGAGAGATCATAGTTGGGCAGTAGATTGATGTGCGCTCACTTACCTGATTGTCACCTTTTGGCCGGCGCTCGTAGGAGTCAATAATTTGGAAAAGCACCAACGGCTTTATAAGCACCTTAGCTCGCATTCCTAAATTCCTGGACATCATGAGTTACAAAAATATGCCAGTTTAAAAAGGAAGTTGGAAAAGCAAACTTGGCTGCGCTTTTGCTTCACCTCGATCCAGTGTTGTAAAATGCGAAGAGAACTTAAAAGGGAAGTAGCTAGCTGTACTTATGATTTCCTATTTATAATCAATTTGAAATGGTAAATAGAAACAATATACATTGAAACTTTATTTTACAGATGTGTATGCCATAAGAACATAATAATAAGAATTATCACCGTATTAAATAGTTTGCAATTTGGTAACGGTTATTAGGGAAGTTACAAGCCTCGACTAAAAAACCCCAAATATAGGGTCATCAGTATTGTTGCGCGCTTCTACTATTTCTTTTTTATAAAATATTTAAAGTTACCAAATAAAGTTTGCTTTTTTCTTCCTGTCATGGGCAACGTTTTACGAATTTGGTTAATTCGTGATTTTGTTACCCACATTCGTGATAAAACTCTCTATTTCGAGTTCTTTTTATAGGGGTCTCTAATATAACTTTACCTAACATCTACAGTGTATATTTTACACGTAGATCTTGTTTGAAGCAAGAAGACATTAGCATGTAAAATTCCCGCTCCTTAAAATGGTTTTAGCAATAGCTTGAGTCTCAAATCGATAACGTTTATAATTCGATAACGGAATATGTTCACACCGTGTTGAATCACAGACTTCAAATTCATGAAGTGTTTGGCCCAATCCATGGCTATCCTGCATTCCATATTATACGTGTAGTTTGCAGAATAAGAGGGTAAACTAGATTGTTAAAAAGTATGTGGCAGGCAGGAGGAAGCGTTTCCCGCCTTATAAAGTAGATATTCGTCCGTCGTCTGTCTGTCGAAATGAACGTAGGGATCTCTGGAACAATAATAGTTAGGATGTTGACTTCGAGCAATAACACCTACGCAGTTTGTCCTAAAAATTATAATTTTTCTTTAAAAGGCCATTTTCAGTATATTCTACAAATTCGTTGATTTAAATGTACATATATTTTAATAATATTATATGTAGTATTGTATAATATTGTATGTAATGTATTTTTATTAATCCTATCTAATTGGTGTAAATGCGAAATGGGCAGAATAAAAATGTGACTAAATTCATGAAATACTAAAAATGTAATTTCCCTAATGGGCAACCGTGTATAAGCCAGAACATACATATGTATATATTGGCATGATTTGAATAGATGGAGATCGCGCGTACAATTCACAAATTAAGTGTGAACTTGAACCTTCATCAAGATGCCTTCAAATTATTCCGTAAGCGACAACTTTAACGCTATAAAAAAGAACAGAACATATTGAGGCGATAGTTTTATACTCTTCGCGAAAATAAATAGAAAGTACTCTATTAACATCTTCGGAATTCAAAATAAAAATTAATATTAAAGAGTTTGAATGAACATTTAGTTTAACAAATTAGCATTGTGATGTTACTCTTCTTACAAGCAATCAACAATAATATACATACATATGTACATATGTACTAAAACTACATTTAATTTATTCATTTCTTAAATATAATAAAACTATTACATATTTTTTAATTATATCTAATAGCTGCTACTCTCGCAAATTTAAGGTTCTTTCAAAAATGTAATATGTAAACATTTTGCAGATTAAAAATAGTTTTTGGTTGTAAATAAGGAAAAATAATTTTATTTGTTCGCAACGTTTGAGTTTTAAGTCTTAATCATACATGGCAATAATATTGTCACGTCGAACATGTCACGTCCGACACACGATTAGAGGACTTGATTGAGTTAATTGTTTAGCCCGTTTTTAAAAGTAAAGTATATTTCTGAAAATGATTAACTAAAAACATAAATGGATTATACTTGGCAAGAAAAGGAGGTGTTAACCCAATTCACTTTGGGAGGCCGTAATGACAATTAAGTTATGTATTACTAGTTACTGTACTCAATATCAAATTATTAATATTCAAAAATATATAAAGTCCTTTTTAAAATAAAATCAGTCAGTTAGTCGAAACCTGTCAAAACGGTGAACATAATTTTGATCACTAGTATCGCCGGCATGGAAGGTTCCAAGGGATTTCTGAATATTTTGTTGGTCATAAAAATCTTATACATTGTGCCGGTGGGGATTATATGTTTGGTAATCCTGGCAATTCAGGTGACGGACTATCGGCTTGATGACTTTGTACTTGTCGTCCACTTGAGCTACATGGAGCAGCGAGCGCGTTCGTACACTCCGGATTCTTGGGAAAGAGGAATCAATATAATGTTGGGCGTCCACATCGCCATCCTATATGTGCTATTTTGTGTGAGGGAGCGTATGAGGCTGCAGACTCTAGAGGAAACCCGCCGCCAGCGGGAGATCGAGGATCTCTTTCGAATGGAGACCGAGTTCATGGAGCAGCTGCGATGCGAAGGCATCGAACTGGAGGATCCCAGTTTGGATTCGAGCTTCGCATAACCATCTTGGCGGCGCATTCAGAAGCCAATCAAATATCTCGTTAATGCCGCCGCCTTGGACAATGTTAATGCTGTATTCATCGTATGAATGTATATATAGATCCCTCGCTTGATTGCCCAGAATTGAATTCAACATTTGTCCGCCGTGCGCTACACCTACACTGCTCAATTACCCGGCCGATCCAATAAAATCCTCCTCGCCCGAGTTGAACGTGCCCGGCTGGCATTACTACACACACCACTTATACTATATGTATGCTCCGCACTGTGAGATAGTTCATTGTTTGGTTCTGCGCATGAGTATATTTTTATCGCGCACTGTGCCCCTTTCTTGCCACCACTTGTGTGCACTTTTTACTGTTTGAAATAAATTGTAAATGATTTTTATTAAAATTTCCGCTTAAATTTTCAGCGGTAATACTGCGTTCTATTTGTATCTCTTCTATCTTTTTGGGATTTAAAGATTTCTTGCGGAAAACAATTTTGCCGCGCTTAATAAAATTACTTTTATGGCGCATAGTTTCGCGATCTACTCATATCCCTGCACACGAGACAGCTCACAAAATCTTTTATAAAACCTCATTCAGTCTTTTGTGGGTTAGACCTTTCTCAACCAAGTCCATAGAATTCCGTATTGATCTACCCAACTTCGCTCAACTTACATCTTTTAGGCGCACCTGAGTAGCCGCCTATTTTATAAAGAATGGGATCTATTTAGTTCATAGCGGAGATCCGTTACTCGGTCACTGATGCCCAAATACTAGATATACATACATACATTTGTATGTACATGGGTATTAACAGTATTCGTTGAGTAAAATGAAAAGACTTCTTAGATTTTGTGTAGTTCGGAAAGAAAGGCTAAATGCACAGTCCACTTAAAGACAGTCCAGGTATCTCTTGTAATCATCTCTTTTTTTTACGGATTTATTAATTTTTAAACAAGATGGAACGATGAAAGATACCCGTTATTACCGTCTATTAGATACCCGTTACTCAACTTAAGGGAGGCTGAGAAGTTTGCATACATTTACGCTGGGGATTTACTCAGATTTACTTTGGTTAAAACCAAGCCATTCGGTGTATTCATCACCTAAAGTGTGCATTTTGAATTAAAGGCCAGCAGCAACCATGCACCGTATACAGAAAAATCGTATCCTCAGCCCCAGTAAATCCGCCATTTTTATTGCCAGCAATGCACAGAAGCGCGCTTCCAATGAAACACACTTGCATCTGTTTTAGGGTCGCCCTCGTCTGTAGACGGGCCGAAATTCACCTGAAATCGCGGTGCTAATTTCCATAAAACTTTGCGCAGCCGCAGAAGAAAGTGGCGATTAATGAGCGAAAATGCGACCTTTAGACTGCAGCGGCGCACTGGTAGATGGAAACAGGTATACAAGGGAAAGGAGAGGCTCAGATTTTCCCAAAAGTCCCGCCATCCGGTGCACTCACCTGAGAGAGCGCGAGAGAGCGAGCGAGAGAGAGAGAGAAATTGAGAAGGAAAATTTGGGAGATCGAGCTACGCTACAGGTGAGCGGAGAGCTCTAAGCCGAGCGCTGCGAGAGCGCCGAGCCTAACGTAAGACCTCATTCGTTTCCGTTACGTGGTGCGAGGCGGTCATGTGCGCGGAACTTGTGTCTCTCCTTTCCAGGGACTAGTATTCCAGCAAGAATCTCAATCAAAGTTAATTTGTCAGTGGACAAAAGACGCTGGAAATAACGCCGGACTGACCCATCGGTACGTCAACGGTCACTGAATTTGAAATCGCTCAATCCCTACGTAAGTCGCAACGCAAGACGCGATCTGCGGAGCGAGATCTGAGGTCTCAGCGGATTTTCTCAGTTCGTGATACGGTCCCAAAGTCAGCGGTTGCCGGTTGCTCCGCCATCGCCAACGCCATCGACGCCTCCATCGCCTCCGTTGCTTTTCTTTTCAATACGTGCCCGCCAGGCGCAATAGTTCGAAATACGATGGCCCAAGGCAGTGCAAACAGTGTGCAATTTTTAAAAAATCACTAAGAAATTCTGTGAAAGGCGAATCACGCAGATTCGAGTGCAATTGAAAGGCTCGCGTGTAAATTGTAGGTCCATTGTAACTGCCGGAGAAGTCCACACCACATACACCTGAAACACACCTGTCGCACACAAATCTTGGATACAACGTGAAGAAACACTGCAAGGCATATCGGTGATACAAGGTAAGTGAAGATACATATTTACATCTCGAACATTCCTTTCGGTTGCAGTGCAGATAATAGATGCGCAGATTTTTCTCGGGGTTGCTGGTATCCAGGGGATGAAATCTGGCCTGCTACGTTTCGGAATTCATGCTAGAAAGTGCGTAGCAGCAGAGAAAACATTTTTATTTTCCTCATCATCACATCAAAACCTACATATATTTCAGCCTGAAGTCAATCTTTTTTTTAATTCAGTATCACTGCAGGGAAGTGTGCTGTAGCATGCGATATACAACTACATATTAGTAACAACTTTCGGTTCTCATTTAAAAGGAACTGTCTGTGATTATCTCATTGTGTGGTTAGATTATTTTACAACAAAAAGACGTTTTTTCCCAATTTTTTGTGTGCACACATTATGAGCTACAATAGAAGTATAGTGGGCTCAGTAACTCATCGCTTTGTTGATGGAAAACAGTTCATTAGTGTCAGAAGCAAACTAGAAGCAAGCGCTATTCTCAAAAACTTCATGGACAATTTAGGCTTTACTTCGTTAAACAAATACAATCGCTGTTTGGGGACCAAAATTTAAGAGTACAAGTTGGTCTCTATTAGCATGAGCAATAAAATATAATTGACGTTTTTTCCAAACAGCAAGTGCAATTGCAACAATAATTTGCCACCACGGGCCAAGTCCAACTCGCTGGCTCTTTCATTTGCAATCGGGTGTCGGGAAAGAAACTCAAAACTTTTGACAGGCAAATTAATGAAACTCGAATTGAGAGCGGCTACGATTACAGCGTACAATTAAAGCAACACACACCTGAGCAGCAGAAAGTGGGGCGCGGATCGAAAATCCCCGATCAAAATAATCTGGAAAACGGCCAAGAAAATACACATATAGAAATCTATATATATGGAAATATCGTCATAAGGTGTTTGCATTTTCGTATTCGGATACAACGCGAAAGCAAGAGTGATTACATAAACTGAACTTTGGTGATCCGGTTTGTCGGATGGACCTGGCATTGGGTTGCGTACATAACGGAGGGAGTTTTTCGGCCCAGTTAATGAAAGTTCAAGTGAAATTCGCGTAAAAAGGGAAACCGGTTGATTTGCTCATCCCATCATCGATTTCCAGATGTCGGGTCCACTTATGCCCAAGGTTAAAGCTGATTTGGGCAATTTACATTTGTTAACTGCGTACAGTTGCACAAAATAATCTTAGAGCCGGGAAATCCACAGGTAGATGGATTTCCACCCTAAAGAAATATGAAGACAGGTAGTCTGCATCCAGTTCGAACTGGTTTAGCCAGGATTTTCTTTGTAATCGAGGGATAAGGCTCACCACCGTGTCTGCGTGCCCGGCAGGACACAAATGTCAGTTTGATTATTTTATTATTTGTCGGTCACAGTTTTCAATTAGCAAATCCACAAGCTACTCATAATTAGCTAAAATTCAAGCAAAGTATAATTGGGTGTTTGTTGAAATGATTAACGGCAAGCGAATGTTGTGAAAATGAGAAGACCCATGCTGATATTTGGCACAAAGTATTGTAAATTTTGCTAAGTGCTTGAGCAAGCTAATTACAGTTAAATAGTTAAATGGCTAGAAAAGGGAAGTGGCTTGGGGTATCTTGAAAGGAAAAGTTATCGCTGTCTCTGTCAGTTTTCTCTGAAAAGCTCTATTCGGTTTCAGTTCAGAAATGCCGTCACTAACTGGCACACGTATCCATATGTGTTGGACATATGATATGCGATCAGCCGAGCACTTTCTTTTTCTCTCTCATTGTCTTTGCCTGAATTTCTTCTCAGAGAGTTGGTTTTTCATATTTTGTCGCTCGCATTTGATGGTTGCTGGTGTCGCCAGTGTGTCAATTGGTTGACTCATTAACTCGCTATTGATGGCCGGAAAAACTCTGTCATAATTAACCAATATTCAAGGAAAGTAAATCCAGCAGACTAGTAAAAGTGAACGGGAAAGCGGACGTCATCTTTGCTCAATTAATGACAACAAAGCGACGACGCTTTAAGAAAATACTTGAATAATGGTTGTTTCAAGTTTGCACTTGGTAATTCACCATGTTATCCTTTTATTAAGCTTAGATCTTTAGGGCCTTTAGCAATCCAAAAGTGCATTTGATATTTAAACGATTATTGAAAGTGCAAAATATATTTAATTATAGTATAATATACAAAAATATTGAAATAATTGGACATAAGCCCACAGACATTTTTAACCCTTCTCTCCCCACAACCTGCACTCGTCGCCATTGCTTAACCATTAACACTTGAACAAATTGGGATATTGCTGGTATCGCTTTTTAAGAGGAGTCTTATAAATTATATGACGCTTAGGTATTCCGGGCTCCATTGCTCCACTGACCTACAGATCTGAGACTCGAAGAAGTCTCACAAAATCCGACATCAAATCGTTTTCTTTATCAGCTCGCCAGGTAAATGAGTAATTAATGCAAAGCAAACAAATCAAAAAGCTGAATTCAAATCAAGAGCGGCCACAAAGAGTCGGTGCCTGTGACTGTGTGTTTAAGCCAACAGTTTTATGTGCCAGTGTGACCCAGTTCCAGGCTGGGCGCATGCCTACCGACCAGTCCCGCTCTGTCCAGTTCAGTTCATCCATTCGGTTAGTCAGCCAGTCAAGAGGCGCAAAAAGTAGAAAGTGAATTTTTATCTTGACTTCTGCCCCAAGGCAGAACCTGGTAAGTCCCAGCTTTGGGCCCTCTGCCACCGCACCTTTATCGAAAAAGCAGTCGAATACTGTTAATGCTTTCAATGCTAAATGTTTCGCCACGGAGTAAACTAATTAAAATTCATTGCAAACCGTAGTGTGGCAACCAATATCAATTGTAAGCGACCTTTTTTAAGCTGACAAATTGTGGCCAAAACACATTGATATATGTATAATTTATATGTGAATCGGCTTAAGCCGAGTTAGCACAGTAATTACATACACATAAATATTTTTGACGATATGTCCCTCCCACGCGCTAAGGTCATAAATCGCTGCCGTGTTCTACTTCAATGACTTGACCTAAAT